CGCTTTTAATCTCCCAACAATGTCTTCGTATCTTGTATTATTAAGGTCCAGGACTTGCTCAAGAGTGGCCGAGATATGGACAAACTTGTTTCCTGGTAAACAGGATAGAAACTTCTTAACTAGCTTAGGTTCCTCCATCGTGTGACCTAATGATGCCGCCTTAGCCGCAAACTCCGAGATTTTCTGAGAGAATGTGTCTATAGAATCTGTGTCCTTCATTCTTAGACGATCAAATTCTATCATTAAGGTGTGTAAGTGAGCTTCTATCACACGATCTGCACCAAGGTTCATAGACTTCAACGCTTCCCACATCTCTTTAGGAGATTCATTATCTCCAATTTGTAGTATAAGATTCTCGGGGATTGCTTGAAATAAAATCACCGTTGCTAGATCATTCTTCTTCTTGTCCTCTGATCCTGGATCGATTGTTTCCCATACCTCATAAACCCTAAGCAGTACCTTCATGCGCATTGACCATACTGCATAGTTAGATGTAGTAAGCATAGGACAAACGACCACTGACGGAACAGAACTTGTCTTCAGATTGAGTTTAGTATCTCCCATGGTTTCTATCTTTTCTTCGAACAAACCTTAGAGCTCTGATACCAAATAAAGTCTCAGAATCGTTTTTGTATGTTTTGTGTTTGCAAAGAGTATATAAAACAGTTGCTTTTGTTTTATTTCTTTCTTAACTTTCTTTGTTGTGATAGATCACCTTACATTCGATCTTCTTTATATATATAGGTAGAAGACTTGGCTTTATCCTAATACCTATTGATCTAGGAATCTTAACTTGACTTATCATTATCNTTAACTTTCTTTGTTGTGATAGATCACCTTACATTCGATCTTCTTTATATATATAGGTAGAAGACTTGGCTTTATCCTAATACCTATTGATCTAGGAATCTTAACTTGACTTATCATTATCCTAAACCTTATTAACTAAGTAGTTATCCAAGTTACTTTAGGATAACTTGTTGTCTAAGCTATTGAAGCTTATCCAACACATATAAGTAAAATCATATATATAATGGGACACTTTTTGCCTCTCCCATATTAAAACACGTCAGCAAAATAAACCGAATTAGTCTCACTCAGACCGGTTAAATTCTGATTTCAGAGCGGAACCAAAAACGCAGCGTTTGTGTATAAAGATTTTACTAGGGCTTTCTTCATATCGTGTCCCAGAACTCTCGCTGTAGCCATTCAAATTCTTTGTTTAGAAATCTCTTCAACTCCCTCATGGATGAAACCAACCCCCCATTGAATCCCATTAAAGCTTCCGCGGATCTGCACCTCTTCAGGTCCTCATGTAGAGTCTATAAATTGGCAAAGGATTCGGCTGAGTATTCATCTTCAAACCCCCTCATCTTCTATCAAGCCAAGAAATTTCAGTAAACATCCTCGATAATGGCTTCCTTTGTTGCTGACGTCTCACACACCACCTTTGATGCTCTCCAGATCGGTCGGTCTTCCCAGTTTGTCGTCGATCACTCAGGCCGCCTTTTCAAGTGGTAGTCGATTACCGCAAAGGCTTCTCTTTAGGAACACAAACTAAAACTTGGGGAAGTATTTATCCGGCTTTCTTGGCACCACAAACCGGTATATAAAAGATATACCATTTTCATTTCAGTAGAGAATATGATCCACCTGCTTGCACATTACCTATCTTTTGTTTCTTGGTTGCAGAAACAAGAAAGAAAGCAAGAGTTATTATAAGGAGATTACAGAAACATTGGGACTGGGTGATCCTTCAGAGATTGTTTTTGTGACAGATGTTATCAAAGAAGCTACTGCTGCAAAAGCTTGAGGTAAAAAAAACACAAACAAAACTCACCGAATCCTGTTTTACTTCTAACCAGTTTTAGATTCTGATTATAAGGAGCTGACTTTTTCCAATTCTGCAAAAAAGTCTGAAGGCAATCATATCAATTCGACCTGGTAACGCTTCCTTTCCAGAGAATCATGGGTTAGAATCATGGGTTCAAGACTCTCACATCGTTCTCCCAAATCAGAGATTCCTTTATGTATGTTTCATATGGTGTTGTACTTGACATGAGCACTGATTTGGTAATAAATCTAAATAAGGATCTCAGCTTGACAAAGCTCAAATCGACTTACTAAGCAAGATGCAGTGACATTGATCCCTGATGAGGTATGTTCTTAAAAAAAGCAATATTACTGAGCAATGTTACAATCACTGAACATTCAAAGACACTGCAGGTCAATGATGGTGAAGGACAAAAACTCCCACAATGCGTTGCAGAACTTGGCGGAAGAGAGTTTATTTTCAATATACGTGCCGCACCATACAATTTCATCACTAACCAAAACAACTTCTCAAGTCTCTGGGATCAGTGAGAAAAACAACAAGGTATTATACTCTATACTCAAATAAACAATTGCATCTCTTTAATGTATCAAAAATCACATCTTCAACTGTCTACAGAGTTTCAACACCGGTTGAATACCAGCTAATGAAGTGAAAAGAGGAGAGATATCAGCTTCCGGATCAGTCTTCACCAAGTCTACACCTGAAGCGGAAAAAGAAGGTTGAAAACGCACTCGGGAGTGAGACACAAAACTCTCTCAAGCCATCACCTCACAAAACTTTCTGTCTTACAGTCCATTAACAAGCTCACGTAAACTATCCACTCAGAAAATATTAATGCACAACTTATTTATTTCATTCGCATCTGTCTACTACAATAACCCAAACTTTTTAAAGGGGTTTTTAAAAATCTCAAATCCTTCTTTCTTTCACTCTTATCATTTTATTTGTTTTATGTTGCTGTAGATTTAGCTTCATACAAGAACTGTCATTTAAAAAAATGAGAAAAACAGAGATTTTTCTAATTTAAATACTAATGCATCTTAACATACATAAGATCAAGCGTTCCTTAGAAACTAGAGATTTTGTAGAAACAGAGTAATACATAAATAGATATGACACTTTCACATAACCAAACACACGTATGATCCGTCTCTTATCACTTAAATGATAGGGACTCATCCTACTTTCATTCCTTCTCTGCTGTTTTTTCACAGTTTTTGGGTTAAATCTTCCACGCCTTTATTCATATAAGCCTGTGCCTAATCTCCTTATCTGCATCTTCTACAGGAACAACCACACCTTCAGTGGCAGTACACGCAGCTATTTTTGTAGAAAACCAAACTCCTTTCACCGTCACCTTCGACTTCTCTAGAACCTCCTAAACCTTACCCTTCAGTGTCTCCATAACACCTCCTGCTCTCCTTCACTCTTTCTTTCGTATCAAAACTATAGCCTTACATTACAACAACAAGCTACAGTCAAAATCCCCGCGCTTGCGCGGGGCTACTGCCCTAGTAGTATAAAATACTACCTCTTTGCATGGCATGTAGATATAAATTATTCGGATAGAGTTGAAACATAAATAAAAATTACATTGGAATCAATCAACACCATCTCAATTACATCAATACAGTTAGGTTCAGAGTATCCCTTCCATAGACGGATGATCTTAACCTTAATTCTCCACGTGCATGGTTTTCGAAGGATTCAAGTCAATAACATTGTCAAAAATCCCACACATCTTACTTTTTACCTGTTCTGTATACTCTAGGTTTATTAGTTTTGGGATGGAGACGTAGAGAGGCTTTGTGTTAATATTTATAGAGTTATTCCTAGGTTCATCCCCTAGGTTGAACCCCTAGGTTGAACCTCTAGGTTCACCATCCAATAAGATTACATTATTTTATATTTGATATCCTTTAAAAAAGGAAACAAAATCTTGTTAAGTTATATTATGTTTTTAAAATTAAAAATACAAAAATTAATAAAATTAATAATAATTAATAAAAATGAAAATATTTTTTTAAAGAAAATATTTTAACACTAAACCGTAAACTCTAATCCTAAACCCTAAACCCCTGGGTAAATAATAAACTTTTGGATAACTTTTATAAAAAAAATCTTTAAGAAAAATATTTTAACACTAAATCCTAAACTCTAATCATAAACCCTAAACCCTTGGGTAAATCATAAACACTAAACCCTAAACTCTAATCATAGACCCTAAACCCTTGGGTAAATCATAAACATTATATTTTTAAAACACTATAAGATTTATCCAAAGTTATGGTTTACCCAGGGGTTTAGGGTTTATGATTAGAGTTTAGGGTTTAGTGTTAAAATATTATCTTTAAAAAGAATTATTTTTGTTTATGATTTACCCAGGGGTTTAGGGTTTATGATTAGAGTTTAGGGTTTAGTGTTAAAATATTTTCCTTAAAAAGAATTATTTTCGTTTTTATTAACTATTATTATTATTTATTTTTGTATTTTTATTTTTAAAAACATAATAATACTTAATAATATTTTGTTTCCTTTTTAAAAAGATATCAGATATGAAATAATACAATTCTATTGGATGGATAACTTAGAGGTTAGGGGGTGAACCCAAGAATAAGTCATATTTATATATTATGCACTCTCTGATTAGGTTACAATATTTCCTAGTTGTTAATAAGGAAAGAATAATTTATTATTCACAACTTGGGGACCAAGCATTATAAATCGGTTTCTACAAATCCGAATTGATCAATTATAAACATGTGATATATGTTTTGTTTAAGAATGTAATGAAAATTTAAGTAATATTTCTGTTGTCATTAGAATGTAATGAAAATTACATCTCTTCCAGGAATTATTACTAAAACGTGGCCACGTGGGCAATCATTTTGATAATATATTTTTGAAACTTGCCAATTATCATGTGTAATTCTGTGGAGCACCAGAAGAGAAAAGACAAGACAATATGTTTTTCTTCGAAATAAATAATGAAAGTAAAAAAAAAACAGTTGCAACATAAGTAATTTTTTAAAAATAAAAAAATCCAAAGCTAAAATCTTAAAAGACAAATCCAAGACATAACAATACTGAAATACGATAAAGCCATATTGTCTGAAAATAAAAGGAGAGTCGAAAATGTTTCTAAGCGCCATGGGAGATTTGATCAGTCGCCCTTGATTTTCTTTTGACCCGGTTTCTTGTTTACAGATTGTTGATCCTCACCATCATTGTCTTTTTCTCCTTTGCTTTTTCTTTTAGAAACATGAGTTGCTGAAGAACCTCCACTAGAACCATCGAAAATCTCGTCCGTTGCCGGCAACAGTAAAACCTGAAAAATAAAGAGAATTGAACTAAATATTGGCTTAGATGTTTCTATCAAACTTAACTAATCATATTACCAGTTTATGAGGCAAAGCTGCAAATTCCTCAATCATTTCACGATCATCATTAGCCCAACGAACAAGATACTGAGAGCTCTTGCCTATATGTTTTCAGAATCAACTGAAATTTCAAAAAGCATTCTCTTGCCAAAGAGGTCGGTAACTGCTTCTGGTAATAAGTCGGGATCTTCATTCTACCATAAATCAAAGAGAAGAGTTAAACAACCGAATGTTATTAGGCAATTTATTGTCAGCTGTTAATTTATATATTTACCTCATCGTAGAGTTCAACAGCTGTACGACGCACAATCATTTGAGCATTGGTATCAAACAAAAGAAAGTTTGCCTGACAGGAATCGTCTTTAACATTGGCAATTAATTTAAACCTGAAACCAAGAAGACTATAATGTCAAACTTATATACATTCTCATTCTGATTGGGTAATCAGAAGACTATAATACCTTGATATGACGTTGATGTGTTCTTTATTGCAGGTATTGCAGTAGAACAAAAGACGCATATCGTCATCAACATCGGTTATAGGAAACACCTTTTTGTTGCAGTATTTACAACTGAGGTATTTCCATCCATGTTCAGCACTTTCAATAGTGCCCATGGTAACAAAAGTCCCAACCTATTCGAAAATGAAAAATACAACTAAATAGACCTAAATATGATAACAAAAGAAACTAAATCACGTGGCTTTTGATAAGAAAATGAATGGGCAACATGTTTATATACCAGAGTACTACCGATGATCTCTCTTATGGTTAGCCTCTGATTAAGAACAAAAAACCTGGCACGGACAGATGTAGCAGTACCAACAGACCATTGGGTGCTGTCGTTGTTTGTAAGAGCAAGATAATTATTTGGGGAGACTGCACAATCAAGTAATGAGCCCCTTCAAAACGTCGTAGTAGGTTGTGTGGGTGGAGAAATATAAGATTAGGTAACAAAAACTGTCAAACTGGAGGAGTACCTTTCTTTGAACTGGTCAATCAAATCGAGTGTTGGGTTGAACAAAATATGCATTGAATTATAACCACTAGATATGGAGTAAGCACCTATAATATTTAGATTTTATTAACATGCATTTTATAAACATTGTAAAAAGTAAGTACATTTATATACCTTTCCACTCTTTAAGAGAACATAACCTTATAACACAAATAATCATTGTGGACATGTTACTCGTACTGTAATCGTATACTTGTTTAGCATAACAACCCCACAGAGTACACATCATATTCACATTACTGTAAAATATTAAATTAAGTGAGAAAATAGAATATAGATGTGACATTCCGATCTGGTCTAAGTACAAGTTGACTCAACCGGCTGTGCAACAATCAAACAAGAACATGCACAGCCAATCACTAGTAACTTAAACCAAACCAAAGAAGCCACAATGTGCACATAAACGATTAACTCAAAGTTCCCAGAATAAATCCAAGTACCTTAAGCCAATTGCCTAAGTACACATATCCTATTATGTACAATCCAAGGCTTTGCAACCCCACCGAGTAATACCCAATAGTTGATTCGTCCGGACAATGACTAATATCATATGGAACCCATACTTAAAGAAACATTCTTTATTAATTATATAATATTCTTTCAAAATCATCTTACAAAACGTTAAGTATTAACCTCGAGGTTTTCGGTTAACAAACATTATACATAAGATATATGCAACGACTTTGCAAGGATAACAAATTTACCGCTGGCTGAAGCTGTTCCTTCCCATCCTATAGTAAAGGTCTCCCGCCTACTGGTTACCTGCATCACAAATGAGTCATGAGTAACTAGTTTACTCAGTGAGTCTAATCCCATACCCGAATACATATCCCGAGCAATCGATAACATTTGAATGAAGTGGAAATATGTTCCATAGCTATACATATATATAACCTTTCATTCAATCAATGTGAATATAATCTTAAAAATCACTTCCGTCTCACCCTCCATTCACTTATAATATATATATATATATATACTAAACCCGGAAAACCACGAAGGCTAACCAAACCTAGAGAGAAAATAAATATAACTATATTCTCCATCAGATATTCTAAAATCGAATATCTAACGCTGCATGCAGTTACACGGCCTCCAGGGTGCGACCCATCATCGTGTCTTCGTGACCTTGTTCCATATCGCATGAACAATTCACGGTAATGCGGGACTTTTGGGAGAGTGAATGTGATAGGACTTCACATGATTCTTACTCATATACTTAATTATATATTTGAGAACAAGTACTAAGGCTCAGGATAAACCTCAAATAATATTTCATAATTATTCTTAAGTGTTACATAAGTAAACACCTCACTATAATTATAGGTTAAGATACTTTGCTAATCAATCAATCATATTCAGTAATTAAATTAAGCAACACTCTTTCATAAATCATCATTCATCTATCTAGACTCACCTTTAATCCATGAGATTGGCTAAGGAATACTAGACACGAGCTCAAGCTAAACGTTCACCACTTGCTGATCACTTCCCAAAACTGAATGAGGACAAGGCATGATATCCTTCAAACTTTACTCGACTACTGGCCTGAAACAAAGCAGTTCGGAAACATGATCATCAATCAACAACTGTTTGGTTCTGAAGAAGAAATTTAATCAGATCATAACAGCTTGGTTAAGGAAAAGGTTTATCAGTTCAGTTCAAGTGAAGTTCAGTCTATAGGCAGCTCGGCTCAGATCAGTTCAACATAAAATCAAATCTGTTTGGTTCAGCTATAACAATTAAACTCAGTTCAAATCAGCTCAGTTCATGCTCATATAAGGTCGGTTCTAATTAGTTCAAGCTCGATTTTACTTGTACTAAATCAGATCACCACGGTTCTAGGAAGTTAACAACATTTCAAGACAGGATCCATCTAAGTCCAGTTCGGTTTCCATCAATGAGTCCATAACCAATTAGCTAGCAGTTTCCAATGATTGATTCCATCCAAAACTAAACTGAACTGATCAGTACATCATCTTAAACAAATGATCCGACCATGACCTTAGCTAACAACACACGGCCTTGATCAGAACATGGATAATGCAAGAGGTAAAGCTTACCCTAGATCACCCACGGTTGGATATACTTCGATGATGCTCTCCTTCAATCTTAGCTCACGGATCAACTGATTTGAAAAGGAGATGAAGGTCCGGCCATGATCAGTAGCTGAACAAGGACTAGGGTTTAATTTAAATCTGATATCTCACCTTCTTATGTATCCCATGAGCTGGCTGAGGGTAGATCAAGATTAAATCACCAAAGCTTCACTGAAAATTTTCTCTTAATTTTTCTTCTGATTTTTTCTTTCTTTTCTATGGTTTTTCTCTAGTTTATTTTGCATATTATGGACAACCAGAGGAGATAAGATGGTGTTTTATAACATAGGAGGTTGTTTCACATCAGGGTTTCACTCAGGATAAGACAAAGCAAGGACTGGACAGGTGGAGAGCGGCTTCATTATTCTCAGCAGAAAATTGTTGTCCTTTCCCTCCCATGAAGAAAGCTTCTCCCCAGCCACATGATTTTTGTTTTATTAGGCTGAGCCAGCAAGCAAGCAGACTGGCTGGTGCAGGTCATGTGGCTTGTTTAATTAACAAGCAAGCAGGCTAGAAGGTACAAGGCATGACGAGTCGGCAAGGCAACTAGAAAGCTTGTCGATATTCCGGAACAGTTTTCAACTAATTATTTCTCGTCCACTAATTCCTATCCTGCTCTCGACTAAACTCGTCCACCATCAATAAAACTCGACCATAGTAATTAACACTCAACCAAAAATATCAAGGGAAGATCTTTTGTCTACAAGACAGTCCCGTCGAGACATTAATTCACCCGGTCGATTTTATTTTAATACTGGTCGGACCAACTCCAAACTGGTCGGACCAACTCCAAACTGGTCGAACGAGATTTTTCGCAACCAAATTCCAATCTGGTCGTGAAGGTTATTACATTATTCCCTCCTCAAAAGAATTCGTCCCTGAATTCTCAAAACATAGCTGTACACACTTTACTGAACACTAGAATCTCTGCAAAGTGTTCTGGATAATCAACTATGGGCTTTTTCCTCATCTGCCTGATATCAAAACAACTCATGGTCATTTTCCCCAAAATACTTGAAGTGGAACTTCCCATTTTCTAATCTTCTGCTCACCTATCCACAAAGGACTTTAAGGATATGTGGGATTGGGATGTGAGTTATGAGGGTTTGGCGGTTCTATCATACTAGAAGCTAGTATTTGTTTACACAACATCAACGCTTGACATACTAGATGCATGAAAGTATCTAGAAAAAGCTCTGGTCTATAGATAACCATTCCAAGTATGACAACTCACTCTTACAAAGAACACTCTCTTTCCTGAGAAAACACCTTGAAGAAGAACCAAATGTTTTACTGCAGTTCAACTCTCTTCAACTGCGGTCTATATACTTCTATTGACAGCCTTTAATCTCTGATACCATATCTTCTGAAACATTTATATCTGTCTTTCTCCCATACATGTAACATGAAATGTGGAACGTTAGGTGATGTGCCATACGTGAAGGTAACATCTCCGGTCTGGTCAATGTCAACTGGATTAACCGTGCAACAATCAAACAAGAACATGCACGATGAATCACTCTAACATGATTCAAACCAAGGGTACTACTCTCAAATATACACACACACCTATTCCAAAAAAGATTCCCCTTACGATAATCAATACCCTTCTGTCTGTATGAGGTACTCTTCAAAAATTTCTGAACCACTCAAATCTCTTTGAAATTTCCCATATGCCAGTCTGATTCTATTGCTTTCTGATTTCCTTCATCTGTTTACCAACTGAAAACTCTTGTACGGCGATTTTGTACTTTCTATATTGAAACATCCTCTGATATCTTAACAACTTGGGAATTCCCATACGCTTTATGGTTATACCTTTTTTTTTGGTACTCTTCAATCTTCCTCGGAGTTCTCTTCATTCAGTGTTTACTTAGTTTTCCTTAAATTCTCATCCTCCAACTGAGTTCCTTAAATACGAATGACTAAGCCATCTTT